CCCTCTAACGCACATTCAAAATCATTCTCACTCCCAACCCTAACTACCTTCAGAGGATTCCAAATCAACCACAGAAAGGGAGAAAGGAGAGTGACACTTTGATTAACTCAAAATCAAAGATTCATATACATTACCTGATTTTGATTTTGGAAACTTGATGTAGAAATCCCCAATTGATGTAGCAGTTCACGCGGAGGAAGCACACAGTAAAGGTTTTTGCAGAAATTTTGCAGAAAATGAAATGAAAGTAAACTTCTTTCTACAGAAAAATGACTATTTATACCTCCGGGCAAAATTAGATCTCAACGGCTGGGATTTGTTTAATCTTATGGTCCTTATTCACGTCGTTTCGAATTCAACTGTGTAACCCTAACGGGAGCAGTTTGAATTCGACGGTTCGTTTCTTAATTTCGTTTGTCTGACTGTCACAGTTACTTTTCCCAGCCTGTATTAATTGTACACATCTTTTGACAGACAACTGTCATGTCACATAAAAACCCTACGTCAAACTTTATAAATGGGCCCATTTAAGCTTGGCTTAACACTTCTGTTTACTTTCACAATTATATTTTTAACTTACAAGTATTTCACTTCGGCTACGGCCATAGTGACCCAGTGTAACATATTTCACTTCAGCTATGGCCACAGTGACACATGCTTTACTTCAGCTCTAGTCACTGTGACTAGATGTCACATACTTTTACCTCGACTCTGGCCTCTATGACTCCGGTCATTATATTTTATTACGGCTCCGGCCTCTATGACTCCGATCATTACTTTTTATTACAACTTCGGCCCCTATGACTCCGGTCATCATATTTCAGCTACGGCTCCGGCCACTATGACTCCGGTCATCATTTCTTACTATGGTTCCGATCACATTGACTCTGGTCATTATTTTTATCACGGATACGTTCATAATCGCTCCAATCACATTTTATTTTGGGCATGGCCAACATGACCCCATATTGCATACTACACTATTAGCTCCGGCCATATATGCATTTGGGTTACAGAATTTAATTCTTATTTTTACTTTTACCCCTGTAACTCAAATATTTTTGTCCCCTTTCCTTTCTATTTATACACTACTCCCATTGTCTCCAACAACATCATTCACAAGTG